GCAGGCCCTGGCCCGCCCGTCGTTGCCTCTCCATCCCCTTCTACTCCATGGCGACACGCACAGACACACTCACACACTCACACTCTTACACTCACTCACTCGCACGCACACGTACGGGGGACGAACGCAGGATTATCACACACGTCATGCGCCGGCCGAAGCAGCGGCAGCAGCAGCGCGCCCCAGCCAAGGCCCCCCGCCGCACCCCCGGCCCCAGTGAGGTGACGTGTGGTGATGTCGTACAGGTGTCGCCGCGCCCGTCACCCGGCATACATACGGCCCTCAATAATATCGCACCTCTCGCATCGCGCCTCGCCTCGCCTCCCGAGTCGCCCGCAGGCCTCGCGTGAATGTATAACCATAACTTCACAGTAGTTATGATTATTATTATTATTCTCATCATCGTCACCGTCATGTAGTTGTCCTGCGCAGTCTCTACGACAGCGTCAAGCTTGTCTTTGTGCGTTTCGAAAAGCATGGCTTATTGTGTTTCAGTTCTGGAAGGGACGCGTTCTTGTAACCCTTTCACACCCCGCCCGTTCTACGCAGTACATAACGCGACTTTTCGGTCACCTCACTCACTTACGCCTGGTTTTTGTTGTTATGCACGGAGCCAAAGCCTCTGGGCTGCAGCAGCAGGCTGACCTTTATGGCGTGCGTCTGCTCATGTCCGCTGGGCGTTGTGCTGTGTGTTGACGCGACGCTCGCCCCAGCGGCCCCAGCCCAGCGCCACGGTCACGCCTCTGAGAGCTTGGCCGGCCTCCTCGCAACCCTACGCAACCCCAGGGCGCGGCGGGGCGGGGCAGGGCGGGGCGGCAAAGGTCACTCACCACGGGGCGTGGCGGGGTGGGGCGCGCCGTGGCAGGACGCCCAGGACAGCGCTAGGCGGGCCCTGCTGCTTGGCCGCGGAGGAGCAGGAACTCTTGGCACGGCCCTCCGCACAGCGGCGCCGATGCGGCGGGGCGGGGCGCTGGGCTGCTTGCCTAGGGTCATGTCGTCGGTTCTGTTTCCCCGCGTGTCACCCCCCGGCCGAGCACTTCTTCATCCCGCTACACCCCTCCCCCTCCTCCCGCGGGCCGATCGAGTGGCGAGCGGTGTAACGCGTGTGTCCCCCGCTGCGCGCCTACGGGGGGAACAGAGAGGAAGGAGGTGGGGAGTAGAACCTGGAAAATAAATGATGGAATTGGCCGCGCGGTGCGTGTGAGTTACTGGAACGGGGCGCGCCGCCACGGCCGCCGCCTGGAGAACAAGCTCCCGCTGCTGGAGAACCTCCTCAGGTGCGCGGCGGCGGTCGGGTCACCGCCCTGCTGCTCGCTCCCGCTGCTGGAAGGACCCCGCAGCAGTCCTCCTCCGCGGTCGTGGTGCGTGAGGTCGTGACCCCCGGGCCCCGGGCGGGAGGAGCCGGA